GTACTGCACTCTTGAATTACAGACAGGGGTGCGGATGAAACAAGCACCACCCTAGATGCTTGACATGTCATGCTGCCTCTGAATGTTGTGGCTGTGGATGGAAATAACCAAGGCACCCATTGAAGCCATTGGCTGCCACGGCCGCAGCCAGTTGATTTACACAGGGCTTAATTACACCAAGTCAAGTTGAAAGAGTTTTGGTGTTGCGTGACTCGACAAATCCAGGTACATAAAAACCGACACGCAGGAAATCCCCAGTAATGGCAGATGCACTGTGCCTCCCATTGTACAAACATACGAGGCCCTTGGCTGTGTTTCTGAACGGCAGGCATATTTCCTATATCTGTGGTACTAAAGATGTCAGTAAGATATACGTAGATACAGTTCAGCACAGCATATTAGTTCCAATTCTTTAACCTCTGGCATCCACAGTTGGTTACCGAACATGGACCTACAAGTCCTATGAAGTCATGAACTGGTTTGCAGCCCCTTACATGGGCTCACCGGCTCCCCGGCTAAACTCCCTGGGATTTTCCGCCGCTGCTAAAGGTCGACGCTTCCTTCCTTAGCCCTTATCTCTTCGCAGGCCTCCCGGTTAAACCGGGGGAGAATCCCACGCGTGCATGTGTAATCATGTGCGGCTATTTCCCACTGGTCCGTTGGCACAAGGCCAGAAATGCTTAAAGGCATCCAATGTGGCCTCGTTGATATGAAGTAAATGGGACTCCAATGTGTTATAAATCCAGGAAACGTCGGCTCGAGGGATCAGAGAAATCATGTGGCACAGCGTGCATGTTCTTTTCGTTTTCATTTCTAAACGACTAAATGTTCAGATATTTCTGCAAGTCATATTTGCCAATCCTTTTGCGTCCTAGAGTAAACCACGCTAGGTTAAATTTATGCTGTAGTGGAACTCTACGTCCTATGATGGAAATCATGTCGTATTCTTTATTTTTAAAACATTTTTGGTAAGGTGGGGGTTGAAGATTCCATACTATTGTTCTGAACAACTTTTTACTCTTGACGGTTCATACTGAAATTTTATGCGTCCTTTTTTCTGGCTACTTGAAATATCAGTGTTCATTAGAGCCCCTTGCAGGTACCTAACACTTTGGACTGGGGGAGGGGGGAAATTGGCAAGTTGGAAACGGACAACATCAACCACCTGGGGAGGCCAAGTCATGATTTCATGTCTCCAGCTAGGTCTCTGCCAATGTGTAGATAATGCTGGTGACAGACGTTGCCGTAGTCAGAGATACCTGTAGTTGAAAGGACCTTACAATCTTACCGTGTTGGCAGTAGCGCCCTCTTGTGGTAGCAGGGCAGAAACAGCCCCCATACTCGCATTTGCCTCCGTGCATACAGATCCGCCTGCAGATGCCTGATGGGGAAAGAGATAAGTATGGGGTGTACTTCATGATACTGTGATCACAGTGACACAGGCGGGCCTTCTAGTCACTAATGGGGCCATCAGAGTTAGACGCCAACACCCAGCAGCACCATGGGAGGGGGGGGCAGATGGTACGCACATGTCACATGCTGCTTCAACTAATAAGGTGCTATGACTTGCCAAGGTGGGCATGTGCTTTGAGTGGACACATGCCCAGGAGTAAAGCGTGATGCCACTGCAGTCATAGCGGCCCCTCAGTCTGTGATCACAAAGCTCATCGATTTTGTGGACTCACTTCAGCTAGAAACCGCTGGGGAAATAAGTCTGCTTGAAAAAAGTGGCACTGTTTTCAGATCCCCAGCAATATTGAAAATGCTGAAAATGTCCAAGAATTCAGGAAGCAACGTGCCAAACTGGCCCGGCTGCCATTTGCAAGTTAGCTGCACCACTCAGGCAACTCTGTGGAAGTGTGGATCAGTACAATGAATTTTGTTTGTCTCACATTTTGCGCGTCTTGCGTCCATTTTTTTTATATCATATAATTGGACAATATTTTACAAACTGTACTGATGTGATTGAACTACAGTAGGCCAAATGAGGCCATTGAAGTAAACAACAGGACTTCTATTACCAATAAACTTTCAGCACTGTAATTCATTGGCAAGAGTTTCATTTCTGTTTTCATATTATTTGCGGCAATCCTGTTTTGCTGGAGAAAAATAACGCCCGGCTGAAGATGACTCAGATACTGAGGAACAACACCCTCCCCAGTTTCAGGTTTCAGCAACAGACGTCATCCCTGAAAACCTCCTTCCTTGCCTTCCAGACCCCGCCCCTATCAATGACAGGCACCTAGACTCCCCTGGGAGGGGGGACAACTCTGGTAATCAGAGCACAATCTGGACATACCAGCACCTGCGAGGCACCCCTCTCAAACACGTTCACTGGGAAAAAAAAAATTCACAATTCAACTGGGATGCAACTTGGAACTGGTTGGGATCTCCCGTCTAGACAAGCCATAAAACAGGATATATTACTTAGCAAGACATATATGACTGCAAAATTCAAACAATATTTACGGCGCATGGGGAAAACCTGCTAGTATTTGTGATACATTACATTTGTCTGCCGGAATGCCAGATCAGCTGCTTTGTACTTCCAGACAGCTGGGGCGGCTATTATTTCTTCATTTAAAGAGCACCACTCAGAATGCTTGCCAAGATAAGTTGAGCGGATTCTTTCATACCAAGTAGGGAAACTTGAGATAACCCACAGCTGAAGATAATTGTAAGCATATTTCACGGAATGCTAGATCGTGCATCAAAGATTTCTTTTGAAGAGTGTCGGTTTTGACATAATTTATTCTGTGTGTGTTTTTGTTTTTACTTGTTCCTTTTATTGGTGAATATTTATGAGGGTCTCTGCAGCTCTGATGAAAAGTATTTGATTAATGTTGCCACGAGACTCGTCCAATGTCAGCTTGGCTCAGCTTGCTGAAACTGAACATCAAACTCATTGAGGGACACAAACCCCCCCAAAAATGGGTTCTTAAATTTAACATTCATCGTGAGAAAATGAGGATGGATGGTCAGTTTTGTGAGAAGTACATAACAGACTCATCCAAGACAATGCCATAACTGGGGTGATCTCCAATTGAGGTGGGCTCAGCTTCTGGCAAACTACAGAGTGAATACGTCACCAAGTACAGAGGTATTTAATGTATGCGAACAACTGCACACAGGCATGTACTGGCTTCTCATTTCGGTTTGTGAGAATTAGTCTACACATCCCCCCCCGCTTCCTGCATCTCTCCGATATAATAAAGCCGTCGCCCCCAGCCCCATCTGGCTCACCTCTGAACCTCGTCTTGGTCTTGCCCATCAGCCGGCTGGCCGACCCGCACAGGCCGTCATCGGTGAACTTGAGGCAACTGCAGACGCCGGGCCTGATGCACACGCTGCCCACGTCGCAGGCCGGCTCGCACACAGCTGTGGAAGGGGAGACACAAACGGGACAAGTCACCTTCTCAACCCGTTAGCACTTGAGTTCCACCTGGTCCACAACTCCAATTTGGACTGGTAATGAGATTACATCGGTAGTTTGGGGCAGTGCAGAGAGTGAAACATGAATGTACGTTTGAGGCAGTGCGAGGTCTGAAGTTATAATGCAGAATTTGAAATGTGCAATTGCTGCAGTAGCAAGTGAGCACACAAATAACCTCACCCACAAAAAAAAAAGCCAACTTTACACGGACTTCAGTCAAAGATGCAAACATGAACTGTTTAGTAACGGGATCCAGAATGCCACAGATTTTGGGCAATGACAATTCAGTGATTTCTTTTAGTGTAAGTTACAAACCTCTACACCTTTTGACTTTCCGCGTATGTCAATGCATATTCATGAGGGTATGACAGGATTATAATTGGTACCACATCAGAGCCCAAATTCTTCCAGGGAGCGTTTTAGTTGTGCCTACAAAAAAGAATGACCTCTGTCTGCAGCAATCCCTTGCAGATGCTACAAATGGTGCTAGTTTTGTACTCGACACTCAGCACTCAACAATCATTGGATCAGCCACAGTCCCTCAACCCAGCTACCACGAAAGGCACCTGATAACAGAGTGATACTTACGGATCTTACAGAGGGCGCCCTTGTAGCCTCTCGCACACTGACATCTGCCACCTCCGATGCAGGTGCCACCATTCTCGCACTTCTCACGACAGTAAGGCTCACCTGAAGTGACAGGATTGAGTTAAGTACAATATGGAATGTCGCTAAGCTGTTTCATCAGACTCCTACTTCAGTACTCCAGTCAAGACAGTGGTCCAGTGTCACATACACTGCAATTTCACATGAGAAACAGCTTAACAAAGAAACTATCTGCTTAGCAAAAATGGGGTAAACGACCAAAAAAGCATACGCTGTTTATTTCTGGTGACCAGTTCCCAGTTCGTTAAGTGCTTGGCAAATTAATTGGCAGAACATTTCTCTCCCTACAAAGTACCAGCAGCTCCATGAAATGCTGTGTCAAAATTTCCAGTGTCAGCAAGAGAGGGAAAAAATCTTCTTTTACATAATGAGATAAAGGCAAATTACAGTCGAACCTCGTTAATAAGAGACCTGCTAATACAAGATTCTGCTTAAGACAAGGAAATTGTTAGGTCCTAATCCTTTCTTTTTCCTTGCATTCATTCCTGATAATACAAGGTTACTGTTATAACAAGGCAATTTGCAATGTCCAAAGGACCTCTTATTAACAAGGTTCAACTGTATTTGGCCTTTTTCATTTCCCTTTGTTACAAAAATGTGAAAAAGCCCTAAAATGTCGCCTCATTCCACAGAAAGGCCAGACAGGTTATATGAAAAAATTGTCCAAATTTTTTGCCCCACCCCCAAAACAAATCTCCCTTCCCCCCACAACTTTGGTTCTGGAGCCGCCCTTGAGAGTCAAGGATGCATGTCTAATTATAAAGCCTTATATAATTAAGAGTGTCGACCTTGCGTCTGAGCTGATTCCAAGTATTAGACATTAAGTCCTAAGTCCAACTCTACATTATCCGGTCTGCATCTGCCATGGTGGAAGCAAACAAGCCATTCCTATACCGGGGGAGGATCCAGAAATTTTTCGGGGGGTGTGGGGGGTGTGTCACGCTGGAGATTTTTTCAATGCCTCATTTTTGTGGATAAGCAGAAATGATGATGAAACATTAGAAGCGCCATATATTGTTTACAATGGCATTGGTGCACTTACTTTAGTACTTTTTAAATTATTTTCTCAATTTTTACCTGGGGGGGTCTCAGAGCAGGAGAGGGGGGCTCTGACCCTCTGAACCCCCCCTCCCAACCATGCCTGTATATCGTTTACTGATAGGTTTCTCAGCAGACTAGCGATAAATTATGCAAGTTTCACATTGATCAGGACACTTGATTTACTTCTTTTTGACCAGAGATCATCGTAAATGTGTTCATGGGTCTTTCAGTGGAGTCCAGTTGTTTCACGTCCCTTTCACATCTGACGTATAATTTGGTAAATTTAGAATGCATTCTATTTATTTCCATGAGTGTTTCAGTAACTGCAAATTACTTGCCAAACAAATGGAAATAGTTTGAGGTCAATTTCACATCAACTGACACAGGTCAGGTGTAGCAGGGACACAAAAACTGTCTCATTTTTAGACTCCAAATGCATGTACGTAGAATTCTCCACAAGTACGATTACTTTATATTGATTGTTTGGAGTATGGGATGGAGGCAACTGCAAAATCTCCCGGTAGGGAACATGGGATTGCTGTATCCTGTAAGACTTTTCAGAAATAACTCCACTTGCGACTATGGCAAAAAACTGATTATAATTGACTGTCAAGGAAAAAAAATGCATCTTGAGATACTGCCAGGCTTTTTTTGGGGGGGGAGTAGCAAGTGGCCAGAACTTAAACGGTCTGTCAATTTGGTCAAACGTGAATTTGGGTCGGTCAATTGCTGCATCACTCATCAGACGATAATGCCCTCCACTTCCTGTCCTAAAATTGACCGCTCAGAGACAGCCTGGACAGATTTGAGGATATATTCATCATGGGCAGATGGCTTTCCGCATTGCCTCAGGGCAGAAAATGGAACTGTCCTTTTTGAAATTGAACTGCAGAGTATCGAGCATAAAAAAATGCGCATTTTGAGGCAGGGAACTGATGGCTCTGAGTGAGGGCTGATAATGTCTGGATACGAGGTAATCAGTGGCACCTTGCTCATGCATGCCACAATTTTGAGAACAATGAACGCACACCAGGCGTAGGATTGCATCTATGGGGCAGACCTCCTGCATGTGATTTCCTGTTCCCAAATGACCTCGGACAGGCTTCACTGTTGAATACTGAACTGGCTCATTCTAGTCCTCCAATTATCAACCCTAACCCCTTAGGCCCTTTTTGCTAGGGACCCTCCTCAATCCTCCAGAATCCTCCAATTTGGAGGTGAAAAAAAATGGATTCTTCCTCAATCCTCCAAAACTTCTTGAAAATGTTACCGTACTTCAGTCCTTCAAAATCCTCCGGCAATTCCTGTCATTATGTTGAGGCAATACAAACGGCATTCTTGAACAGTACGGTTGATTAAAAAAAAAAACCGGGTTGGATTTATGCATGACTGAGCAAGAACAACACAAGGTGTAACCCATGACCTTCACTCATGGCATCCTTCGCAATCAGCCATGCACTTTTGCCATTCACCCTCAATCCTCCAAACCTACCCGAAGGATTTTGGAGAATTGAGGAGGGTTAGGGTTATAACATATGTACATCAGTGACAAGACGTTCTACCTACCCTTGTCCCTGTTTTCCGACACCAGCTGACAGCACACGACGCCGGACACCAGCCCCGACTGGTAGGCGCAGTTGGGCCCGCCCTGCTTCCGCTTGCCATAGAAGACATCGATGCGACCCTCGCCAAGACACGAGGGCTGTCTCCGCCGCCTCTTGGAGCAGTGCCGGCCCATGCCGGCCATGTTGTTGGAATACTTGTCCCCTGTGCAGCTACAATGGAAACCAACATATGACAAGTTACGCCTACAGCTCTGTCTGTTTCTTGTCAAACTGGAAATGACATGTCCAGTTTATTTGTGTAAATAATGGGGTAGTCATTCGGGCCAGCATTTGTAAGAGGCATGTATCGATATAAAAAACGTCCGAGGACAAAATCTAAAGGTGTGTGTTACAAAAAAAGTTTCCATCGATCCGGTCAAAATTTTCGTCTGTGATTGCTTTGTTTTCATGATACAGAGAGAAATCAGACCTGACGAAGAAGGCTGGCAGGTCTACATTTACTACGTCCAACTTGACCAGGACTCAAGCCATGTCCAGCAGTAGCTCAGACAACCAGGAGACTGCGACGCCATCTCACAAGATTTGTCCGAGTTTTGTTCGAAGTCTTGACAGAAGTCACAAAAACAGAAAATGCAACAAGCCTTTCCTTTTAAGCAAGGGTTTGCCCTAAGGACACCTTTGCTTTAGCCTTTGATCGGACAGGCTCTTTTCCCCCAAACCATGTAGAGGAACAGTGAATATAACCAGTTTAAATTCAACTGAAGATATTTTTTATCTTGCACAACGTAAATGAAAATCTTCCAAATTACGCAACATGCAGAAGTATTAATAACAAAGCATATCTAGTGATGGAGTTCTAAAAACAGTTACAAATCCTCACTTACCAGTCCTTTGCATACTCATTGCTTTTGGTACATAAATGTAAGCCCAAATGCAATTGGACTATAACGGGGTTGGGGGTTAGACCATATACTAGCACAGGTACAAGTAGACAGGAACTATATGAACATGTACGTGTACAGCCAAGTTGAATGAAAGCCCCTTAATTATGAATGCGAACAAGCGGGAGTTCTGATTGACATTCAACTTTTTACGCAGAATAGACACTAATTTATATGGGCAAATCCAGATATTAAGGGTCCAAAAGTGACACATTTATGCCCCTGTTACATCTGGCCTTTGCTATTTGATGTGGAAATGTCATCGGAATTGATTTCAAACTATTACTATTTGTTTGGTGGTAGTTTGTATTGATTCGTCACTCTTGGAAATTAGAACTTGTGTTCTGAACTTACAAAATCATAGGCCAGATGTGACAGGAGCTCACAAAAAAGGGCACCTGATTTCTCGAATTATCCATATAGGCAACAGCCAGAACGATTTCAGTTTTATGGGCACGCATAATTCAGCTTGGCAGGGGGGGGAGGTCTTCCTGTTCCTTGCTTGGTTCCCCTTGCTCCTGGGAGCCCACAGGGTTTATTAATTGATTTCCTGAGGGAACTGACAGGGCACTCTTTGGGGGGAGTGCGTGCCCTGTGTGGACTGGGAGTACCCAGTGGGTAAACTGGGTTAAAAGCTAGGAGTTCATGTACTGCCCTTCAATCCCAGTCTTGGAAGACAAAAATTCTGAGGTCTTGTACCGTATCTTCCTGCAGATTACAGTGAGTTCACACCGGAGGATCAATTATTGTTTTGTATTCACAGCAAGCATGAGCCAGGTACCTTTCTTTTGATCATGAACTTCAAACGACTGAAAGATTAGCAAATTGCTGAAATTTTGTTCACAATGAAAGTAAGACTTAGATTTCTGAACAGATCAATGTTCAGCCATGGTGACAACTTCTCAAAGAGCTTTTGTGGAAAGTCCGTTGATCAGTGTGGCTCAGGCTTGAAACACGTACGTGTGCGGTGTACATGTACGTTCACTTCTAAAAGCTAAAAATGATTCCTGATCAGATTTTGCACAGTGAAATGCAGCACTCTCTTTTGGCCAAACCTCGGCTCTACTGCAACTAGCCCATGCACCACTGCAGTCCAGGGCACACAATCAGGACACAATTCTCAGTCCCAGCCTTTTCTTTCAATGCGCAACTGTGCACAAATGAAACTTGCATTTGAGCCAAGCTTGTGACGGATTAAAAATGTGGCACACTGTCTGTTCAAGTTGCCAGAAAGGGTTCGTCCAGCGTCCTGTTTATGGTTCTTATCGTTAGACACATATCCACATCTACAAAGCTACAAAGATGGGAGATGGAATTATTTTTGTAGCAGTACTTGAAGCAGTTGAAGCCACTGCAGTCTAGAAAAACTTTGGGATATTTTCACTGACAGGTTTTGGCCCTGCCCTCTCCATAATCTCAACTTCCCTTGTTCTCGGCTGCACTTGGGGTCAAAAAAATTTTGTAGACAAATATCGTCTTGCAAACATTTAACTTTTCGGCCCTGCAGTGAAACTTGCCTCGGGCTCTGTGGTTTTTATTATTAGAGCGATGATGTAGGGGATAAGTATGCACAGAAAAAAAAAAAACTTGCGTGCTCTGGATCGTGCAGAATCAAGCCCAGACTCAGTCTGGCTAGGTCTGGTTTCCTGACTCCTCTACTCTCTAGAGATATCAGGCTGTTGGTAACACACCCAGGTGTGGCTCATTTGAGCACTACTGTGTCATGCACGTGCCGGTACCCTGCAGAAAAAAACTCCTAAAATCTCCCAAGACCAATATGAAAATGTTAGGTTAAAGAGGTTCCGTAATGCTGTAAAAAGCATACGTGTGAGAGTGTGCTGCTGCCCATGGGCTCGGCAAACTGCACGTTCTCTGGTGATAATGTTGGGACACTTGCTACAATACAAGGTTGTAAAAAAGCTCACGCTCTGATGAGTTTCCATTGCTCAAATAGGCAACAGATGCAGTTGAAAATTGGCCAGGAAAACAGAGCTAATACCCAACACTTGACTGAAGTGAAAAGCGCATATTTTGTGCTACCAATCTGTAGCTCGGCGTACATGTTTGATTGGGTCACAAAAAACACTGGTTCACACACTTGCCTGATAAATAGTCCACCTTGTCATCTGTTCTAATTTTAAATTCTTGCAAAGACATCAACTTTGAAGGAAGGGAGTTGGCAAATAGAGAATTGCAGACAAATCTCGGCATCTGAAGGATGACGTTCTGACAGTTGCCTCAGTGCTCTCCATACAAATGTCACCACATGTAATTTCAATGTTTCTGGCAAGAGCAAGGATTACATGTGGCTACACGTTTGAAGGAAACCCAGGGCAGACGGGGAAATTGAACAGGGGTAGAAATGTAATTGGTGGGTTTGGACGGTGCTCCTGACGGAGCCAACCAGCCAGGGTAAGTATGGGTACATGTATGTTGCGTCGATAGAGGGGGAAACCAGCAATGTCATCACTCAACAGACGGGGAATCAGTAGAGCCCAGAGTTAAGGTGGGCCAAGACGAGAACGATGAAGAATGTGGAAATGTGTGGCTCCCGAAACTTACAGGGGGAAAATGTTGGGATAGGACCTTTGGGGATAGTCAAGGCATCGATCTGGGAAGGGGCCCGATGATGGACAGAAGGTAGGGGTAGGGTAGAGGTAGGGTCAGTGCGGTCAAAAGGACAGTTCCAAAAGAAGAGAGTATTAATAGAACACATCTGTCACTAGAGGTCAGGCAGACTGCCGAAAATGAAAAGAGTATTAATGAAAGACATCTGTCGCAAGAAGTACACAATGCGTGACATATTTGCTGGTTTTTGACCAAATATTTTCAAAGCTTTGCCAAATGTCTATGCTTAGGTCTGAGAAACTGGTCCCTGGTACTACATTAAAAATGTGCTTCCAGTCTGGTTCCGTCAATTTCCAGAGAGAAAAAAAAACAAAGACAGAGCAGACTGCTCCTCAAAAGTCTCCACCTGAAACCCCCCCCCTTTAAATTTTCTCTGGGGTTTTTACCTTCCGGTTTTTTGTTAAACTAAATTTCCTTCCTTATTTTCTCTTGATTGAGGGCTGAGCCCTAAGCAAGACGGGCACTTCTGATTAAAAAAAAAAAAAAATTACCATCCTGTCCTGAAACACTGCAATGCAGGCACATACATGTGCCATCACATGCAGATGCTCTCAGCCTATGAACTTCTATTTTCTCTCAAGTAAGACCTGCTGGCACTCTACCAAAAAAACAAAAACAAAAATCCCTGACACCCTTGGCCACCTAATCCAATGTTTCACACTCTGGCATCAAGTTGAAAAGTCTAGGATTTGACACATGTATTGCAAATGTTATCTAAAATTTAAAAATGACAAGATACCAAATTATTTTACAAGGACTAAATCTGTGATTGTAAGGAAAACTAACGGTACAACTGTATGGGTGCTTGAACTCAAAATAGTAAGTGGACAGGAACGGACAGGAATGAATCACTGCACAGCCATCTTTTCTCTTCTCCGCCCTTGGAAAAGCATTTTTGGAAAATTGATTGGTGATAAACCACCATGCCATCCAAGCCCAACCCGGCACGCCCCATCTCTGACCAGACACAAAACACAAGCATAGGCCTAAGGTGCGTACTGTGTTTGCCGATGAATTTCCTCACCGCCTCTAAATAAATCCAGATCCCCGGGCCTGATTCAGGACACATTTTCACATCATCTCCGCTAATAGAGATAACAAGTCTGCCGCACGTGTCCGTAATTTTAGCGCCCTGTGCGAGAAGTCCCAATCTCTCTGTCTGAATCAACTACAGGTGTGTCTGTTGCTCAATCTCCTGCAAAAGCAGTTTTTCTCACAAAATGGGTTCAGGGTGTACCTAGCCACTGACAACCCCATGTAGGCTCACACAAGACCTCACACGAGACCAATCAATATAATTTACTGTTTGAAGGTTTTCAAGTCGACTGATGATTTTTGTCACCTGAAGAGCTTTCTAGAGTAGCTGGGCTTTCAGAATAAATTTGTTGCGATAGCTGAAGTTTTGTGGCACTTTTTTTAAACAATGCAAGCAACTTCAGGAAATATGCTTTTAAAATATTCTGGGTTACGGCGGAAATTTGAACAGATCAAATTGCCTGTTTATTGTTTGAAGTACCCCCCTGGTATATGTAGCATGCTTCTTGTGACAGGCAAGTGGCAAACTGCACACTGCCACTTACCAACAGTACGGCTCATTCTATGATGACAAACTATACCCCCCCAAAAAAATACACGGTATTCTATTCATGAGATAGGAATTTGAACAGGGTGGAGTGTTTTTGTCTTGTTCATTTGAAGTTGCTGCACGCTAAAATCAGAGATATTTTAAGAAAGGTCAAGCTCTATTTGGTGATCAGTGTAGCAATTGCCGCTACCTGTTTCACAGAGTGCAAGTGGAGTCGAATGGAAGCCAGCGGCAGTTCAGTGCGACGTGCTGACAATCAGCCATGGATGTCCCTTATTACTGGGGATATCCCCATCAGTGTTGCAAACACCTCGGGGGCGTTATTACCTGAGTTCCAAATCACAACACCCAAACCAACCAACCAGGGCTGTGGCAAGTACCTGGATATCCGACAGCCGACCAACAATGGCAGATGCATGTAGGCAGCTCACTTTATGCAGTTCTATTCACTGAAATAATTGTTGGCAATTCCCCAAACAAACTTCTGAAGAAAAAAAAGCACAGCATTGCTTGACTGAATAGACATGTAAAAAATGAACTTAATATATCACTTTTCCATTAAAAAAATGCCCTCAAAATATCTTCTGGATTGTTTCAGAGGGTAGGTTATTTGAGAACAAAGTACATGTACCCGCCAACGCAACAGAACTCAGTAACAGATTACCTGTACGTACATGTGCAGTACGTACGACCATGCCATGCTGACAGACACGAAATTGCATACAGCACGTAACACTTGTTCTGAAATAAGCTATGACGTGCTTCATTTTGAGCATGAGCTGTCTGAACACCGAAGTTGCTCACTGCTCGGCAGCAAAAAAAGTTTCACATCTGGCTTCAGAGCTTATCGAGTATTCAAACTAAGTGCTCACTCAAGGACCCCAACTCAAGCACTCACCTTGCACACGTCCCAAAGTTGTTGGCAATGTTCATGGCGTAGCAGCCGCTCACGCTGTTGGCGTCCTTCCAGCTGACGCGGGCCAGCAGCGGAGCATCCCGGGCATCACAGACGTGCCAGCCGGGCGCGCACAGGATCTTCCCCTTGCGGACGTGGCCCTTCCACGAGCCGGCGCAGGCCGCCACATCCTGGAAGTGGGCGAGGCCCTCTGTGGAGCCGTCGCTGCAAGCTAAGGGAGCTGGTAAACAGGAGAAATTCAAGAATCTAAATGAAGTCCTGGAGTTGGCAGTGGCACCACCAGAACCAAACAAATGAAAAATGAGACAAATGCTGACTATACCCCTGGTTCTGCCACCAAGAGACAACCTACTGACTCTCCAACATAGAAACCTTCAAGTCTTACTTTCCACTTTGTGAAAATTGGGGATGAGAGCTGTTGACAATTTGATACACAGATCTGGCACAAACCAAACCTGTAGAAATAAGCAGGCAAATGCACAGCTGTCAGAACAACCTCACATTAACGTGTTCCCTCCACCCAGAATGCTGCTGTAGACAGAGCAAGAGGGTGACTTGACAGTCCAACATCAGACATTTTCTAACCACTTTGTCTTGTATTTCTCCAAATGGGCCGCAACTTGACTCCAATACATCGACGGCTCAAGGCTAAAGATGTTTGAGCACTATCATGTTGTTTTTTTTTTCCTGTAACTATTTTTATGTACTTTGTGTACCTTATTTGTATGAATGGAAATAAAACAAACAAACACCCCAACACCCCAACAAACAAACAAACAAACAAACAAACAAACAAACCAACTTCCTCATTCTGTGCCTACGTTTAATTTCACCTACTAGAGAGCTAACAAGAACGAGTCAACATGCACACTGCCAACATGACTCGCAACTGAAGAAAGGTTTGGACAATTCTGCCCACTTTACTCTGCCTTCCCACAGAATTAATGTACACTGTGCATGCTGAGCTGGAAGTGCTTCCACTGTCACCTTGACAACAATAAACAAATGTAGCTCAGTTTATTGGTGCTGTAATGGTAGTCTGGAGATTCCTGGTACAGTTTCCCAGTTTTCTCCACAAACTAAAGGGAGCGATATGTTTGGGGCAGTGATTGTGAACAACTTAGTGACTTTGACAAAGAAACACCTCTCTTGTGCAGTCTGCCAAGACAAAATGCCCCCAGGGCAGGTGTGAGACTACCTACCCTGCCACTAACCTCTTAATTCATTCATTTTCCTGAGACATAAAAAAAAAAAGTGGGCAGTGTCTCTGATGCTATCATCCCTCGTGATCGCCCGAAAATCTCTGACTGGGCATCAGGATGTATGATTTGTGTTAGTCATTGAAGAGAAGGAAACAAGAGAGGTGGGAAAAAAAGAGAAGAAAATGTGGAACATTTGGGAGCAACCTAGATTTATCAAAGGCTTAACAAGTGCGGACGTTCTTCCTGACAGGAGCCAGGTACTGAGGGAGAAAGGGGGCTGCCAAAGGTCTCACAGTTCGCACTCCCAATCACCGACTGTGATTCACACCTATGGACTAGGTATGTACCCGGTACGTGTACAAGTGCATTAAGACATTAAAGGCTCCGTGCAAAACTCCTCCTTTAAGTTGCAAGGTTGCTTCAGTAAAACTGCAATTTCTCCAATGCTGTGGGGGTGTTTTTCTTGCATTGTGCACATTCAACCGAAAACTTGGAAATGCTTGCTGGGGGCAATTCACGCATAATGTTGGATGTTATGAAATTACTACACACGTGCTGTAAGGTGTGTATTTAGTAACAGTGCACTTAAGTCCCCGTTATACGGACTGATCCGATGGCACGCATGAATGTGCGTACCCATGCTTAAGGACGCAAGGAAAACTCTGATCCACGTCGGACTAGGACTGATCCAGGACCTCTTCAATGGAAATTGTTTGGGGCACATGTGCCAAACTATGAAACCCATCATGTACAAATGCAGTCGTGATTGTTATCGCTGCTCCAGCAGGATGCTGGTCAACAGCCCTAACCAACTTAATTCAGTATCGGATGCGGTTACTACAATATAAATTCAGTCGGTGGCAGCAAAAGGAAGGGGTGGGGGTCAGAAAGTGGACAGAAACTGCGGCTGACTTATCGAGACTGATCCGCAGGATGCTCGGAGACATCTTTGCCAATTTTTTGAACGACTTAATCACGACTTATTGGGAGTCTAGCTTAATACCTACACAACAGCACAGCATGACTGTTCCCTTTGTGGCAACTGCAGTGTGAATGCAGCTGACAGGCTTGATTCTTCAGGCTTCTTTCAGACAGTAATAAACTGGGACAACGCCAATCAGCTCAACCAGGTTACAGTTGTTTACGTCCCTGAGCAGGACACTTTGCAACAATTACTTATCTACTTGCAGGCAAAAATACCGGATAGCGACAGGCCTGGAACTTCAGGGTGGCACTGGGGGCGATTGCTTCAGCCCTCCTGGCTTAATGGCTTTGGAATCTCTTGAAATATTCTCATTTTAAACTGCTCTGCAAGCATTAAAACATATACTATGCAGGAAAAACATGAACTATGTCTTGATGCAGATCTGGCCTTGACCAAGGTTAATGTGTACCCGGTATGCAGGTAACCAGCCAAAACAATTTACACTGTGTATTCCCTGTGGCTGGTGCCCAGCTGATTTTGGTTTTAGCATATAAATTTGTTGTACAGAAACTTCTGCTGACTAACTGATGAAATTGGACCCCAGCAGGATACAGGACTACAAAATGGCTTGAGTCTTGACCAAAACAAGTTCCCGATCTTGACAGGGACAGGAATGGGTGGGGCTAACCATACTCACCCTTTCTGATGACCTGGAGGAAGGCATCCTCCCTGGCTGTGCCAGCTGAGTTGACCCTGATGCATGAGTACTGACCAGCGTCCATTGGATTTACGTTTGTGATGTACAGGGTCCCTGAACAGACACCAGAAAAAAAAAATTAAAAAAATCAGCCACTCTACTACCAAAAGACTGAAACCAAGTACATTATGTCAAACGTAACCTTCCCATATTCTTTAAAAATCTACCAGTGAGGTTTGAAAGATTTTGTAAGATTGAGGAAGGCACAGCTCAGTTACAGTTGCGGTACTATGCATGGAATGTAGGGCATTATCTCCTGAAAGTTTAAGTGAACCATTAGATTCCTGTTGCTTTGGGCAAAACAATGTGACTACGGTAGCTTGACAAAATGGGTCTTGAGACCATTTCTTTCTAGCTCCCTTACCAGAGAAGGCAAACTGGACTCTTTGTTGTGGTGAATCACTCAGCATGGCATCCTTAGGAACGGACATTGTGTGGGTGAAAATCTGTCGAGATTTCCTCTTAATTTCCACTGTGCAACATTTGTAAAGGTCTTCAACTCGAGAGTGGCTGTGGGGACTCGTGACTCATTTTGTCAGGTTGGCTCAGGCATATGTACCCGTACCTTGACAGGGATGTATGGCCCTCACAGGCCACCTTCACATGGAAAGTAAGAGCTATGAAAGTTTGTTTGAGAAGCATACACACTGGCGATGCAAGGTTAGGGTTTACAAATAATGAGTAGGTGTATTCTCTGACCTGTGGGCGCCAGATGGACTCTTCTGTCGGTGAGATCGACCGGCGAGCCATCCCTGAGCCACTTGATGCTAGGGGCGGGGCTGCCAGAAGTGTGACAATGCAAGGTGAAGACGTCTCCCTCGTTTATGCTCACTTCAGGTGGAAGGTGGGTGTGGATGACCGGTGCCCTTTCTGCATTAAAACCAATGAAAAAAAAACAAACCATCGGAAACGCATATTTATGTTGCTTGCTTTGTAATGTAAGCTCTTGTGTGGATTACAAAATGTAATGGCAGAAGATGTTGACATGCCCACATGACCAAGTCTCCTCCCCTTTCTCCAACCCCCCCTCCCCCGAGACAGAAAAAAAAATTAGCACTACAGAAAACCTTTCAGAGTGTACCTTTGAATACAAAGAGTTGCCTGCAGACATGTCATGCCTCTGTATTTATTACCAAATTTACTTAGGGTCCCCAAAGAAATCGTACCCAACACAGAAACGGTCTCGGGTTCTTCGTGCTTTAACAAGGGAGGGCTGGCCTGATTTTTCATTTATTTCTTTTTTTTTTTAAAGTGTCGCGACTTTCCCAGACTCTTGCCCGGTGAACAGGAGTTCCTCTATTGGCGGGTGTGGTAAAGTGGTTGGGTTCCCTGTCGCCAATTCAGGTCGTAAAGGGTTTGGAAGTTGACCCTTTGTGACTGGGTCTTTACAACTAATGTGCATCTTGGGAAATGTTGAGTCACTTTCGTTGTCCCAACAACGGACTCTGAGAGATGTTGGAGATGTCTGAATCAAGAACAAAACCTTCCAATGCCAATGGCAAGTGATACAGGTATTTGGTGGCTAACTGCATCTTAATATGCATATGTAAAAAAACCCTTTTTTCACCTTCAAAGTCACTTTGAAACCTAACCAAGTGTAGACTCCACATGGACTTACATCATCTTGTTGTGGAGATGTGTACAATAAATTGTACCACAATGAATTAAACCAAACCGTGATTTGGATGGGACTGAGTGAGTGATTTGTTATTTTGTCGATACTGAGCTCTTGTCGCTCAAAGGGCAGCCTGAGAGGCTTGTGAGAAAAAAAATCACAACCTGGCTACAGCCGATCTTGAACCCATGACCTCTTGTCTAGTGCCGGTATTTCATCACTAAGTTAACAACTGAGCTTGCTGATGAGATCAGCTGTGCGGTTCAAATCTCCCAAGAATAAAAACTCAACAAGCACGGTGACAGAAATTCCCGAAGAAACTGTATAATGCATTCATTTTGTAAAGTCCATCCACAATTATTCCATTCAGAAATCCAACTCAAGATAAACCCCTTTAATGCAATATGGCTGTGTGTGCTTCATGCTCCGATAAATAGAACTAAGAGCAATTGCTGAAGCTTATGCCATGTTTACAGTTTTAACATAATAAAATTTGTGATTTAAAAGGGGGGGAAAAAATGAAATGTACCCCAATCAGGGAAAAGCAAATCTCCCCGGTGCCAGAGGAAAACCATTCATTGAAATTGTCCTTGACCATAAGGTCAGCCAGTCTTTACCCTGAGGAGCTGTGGGTTGCTGTTATCCCAGTAGACATGGCACCAAGGCTTTCCACTGTGTCTGTGGCTTTTTATTTTTACCCCCAGAGATCAAATCTGGGACAGCCAGGGATGGGAACAAGCTCGGAGCACTCATCAACAATTTATTTTTCAACAGACATTTTTTTATGAGCGGAACTTTTGAGTTAAAAAACATAGTTTATGAGAGTTAAGGGGTCTATAAATAAGCCCAAAACAAGCTCCAACTTTCCTACGGTGACATCTCTTCTCGGCCTCTAGCTCTGTGGAGATCCAAAAAGCTCCAGAGATTTTGAGATGTGGACCCCTGCAGTTGAGGGCATGGGGTAGAGAGTTTTCTTGACCGTCTACACTGGCTCCCTGGTCAGCAGCCGATTCAATTTAAACTTTTCATATTTGCTTTCAGAGCCCTTTGGGGCACTGGATCTGCTTATCTCAGTCTCCCACTTCAACAATTGAAATGACAAACTAGAGCTTATTCAGTTCCAATTCTTGAATAGAAATGTCCAAAGAAAGTCAGTGCCGGAAATAGAGCATTTAATGTCTGTGCCCCTCAGCTCTGGAATGACTTGCCTGTGTCATCAAGACAAATTACACTTTTCTCTGATTTTAAAGCCAATCTTAGGACCTATCTTTTTAATGAAGCATTCGGAATGTTTTGTTAGAGGTTTAATGTGTACGGTATATTACGTGTAGTTGTAATGTTTTGCTCATTTTTATTGTGTTTTATCTAGTATTTTGAATGTGAAGCATCACTGACAATTTAGTTTTAAGTGATATTATAGAAATTATTATTATCATTATTATTAGAGTGTGAGAGTTTTAAGATGGTACATATGTACATTGTACTTTTAATACTATCGCACTTAACAATCCAACTACTCACTACCACCAAAGTTTATTTAAGTTAGGCCCTGTAACAAGTTCTTTCACTAGTCCAGTCACAAGTGCAGTCCCAAGTCCTTGTACAAGATCTGTCATGATTAAATGACAGGGTAAGCAATGACAAAGGAATGCTTTCATAAGAGTTCACTGAACAGCTTGTCACTTGGATTGAAGAACAGGTGAATTGTGACGGACTTGTAGGGACTCTGTGACTGACTCCACAGCAACACTGGTACATCTACCCACCTGACTTCTTGCAGCACAGCACCCCGGTGGTGATCCCCGGCCGATAGGAGCAGGCTGCGCCACCACCATCAAGGGCATCCATGCAGCAGCTGGCGTCAATCCGTCCCTTGCCCAGGCAGGAGGTCTGGCCGGGGTTCTGGTGCGGGCACCCCCGGCCCACGCCCCCCATGTCATCCTGTGGGAGGGAACACCCAAAACAGCCACTCCTGATCAATCTCTTGGGGGCATTTTTTTTTTCTTTTTGAACAAACAATGACTTTTAAAAAAGTTTCTTGGCTTAGCTTAGTAGCAGGAGAGAAAAACAGGCCGAAAAGTGACAGGAGACAATACCACAAATAATACTATCCAGGAAACAAGCTGAAAAAAAAAAGACATTCCTGCTTTATAACCACAGAACCGTTTAACCTGCTCTGACCCCGGGATACTATTTGAAACCAGATACAGTACATGGACAGGTTCGTGCAAGAGAACTTAGTTTGATTCTTGCGGTCATAAAAGTTGAGCAAAATGGGCTGTAAGGGTAAGCAATGAGCCGTGCAAAAACATTTTTAAAAAATGAAGAAATGCAAAAGCCCAATGTGCTCGGAAAAATACCCAGTGCCACAGTCAAATTCACCAGATATTCTGTACCCTGTGTGCTTAATTCATTTGTACACAAGCTGTAACTACCTATACATGTACGTGTATTTCAAAATTTTGTCCATACAAAGTACCGATATGAAAGGAGATACCGGCGGCATAAGAATAAATGTTGAACAAGGAGACCACCGGATATGGCTGAAGTAATTACGTGTGAATACATTGTGAAAAAAGCAATATTGGCAGACTGAGTGGGAGACGGGGACAAAGGAGGGAGGTGTCATAATCCCTCCCCCCCCCAAGAAACAAGAGTCAAATTTCTTTTTTAAATATTGAAAGAAAGGAGATTTGAAAGAACTGTTTTCTTTTCTCTCCAAAAGAATGTAGCATTTAAAAAATTAAAACCCCAGCTTTAGCCTCACTCCTTAGAAAGGCCCATAAAAGGCTGCACAAGAGTAATTTCCTAATTTTCTGCACCCCCCAATTTTATCTTTCTCCCTCCCCCCCCAAAAAAAACTGGTTCTGGATCTGCCCTTGAAAAAAAACAGTCCTCTCTGCAAAATTGTGAACAGACATAAAAGGATGGGAATGTTTTCCAGTGAGATGCCCAATACTTTTATCAGTAACACAGGACCAAACTGTGTATTTAAAAAAGCCCAGCTTGGGGAAACTTCCACAGAACAACAGTTTAGTCTTTGGACTGGGCCAAACTTCCTCTTGTGGGGGGAAACTGAAATTGGATCCGGGAACTCACCCTTCCCCAAAACACAGGAGAAGGGGGAAGGGAGGGGGTATCATGTAGCACGGTTGGTCTGTCATCCCATCAAAAAGAGTGTACCCCTGTTATTGGACTCTAAGGTGACAGCTCTCTTCCTGTTTTGGGACGTGCCCTTTGACCCTGCCACCCAAGCAGTTGGGGGTTATTTATGGTCAACATGGCTTGTCTAAGAGCTAGCTACCACTGGGCTACATTGCTGGGAGCACAGGGCCTGGACGTAAACACACTGGAAAGTTTCTAAGCACAGGGACAGAAACTGTCAAAAGAAATTGGTGACTAAGACCATACTGTGCATCATGACTGTCCAAAAAGTCAGCAATTTTTCGGCAAACCTTTCCCAGCCTTTAAAAGCAAAGAAATTCACAAATGAGTAGATTTCTGCAACATTCACAATTTTACTGAAAACCTGTGTGAGTGGACAGAGGTCACAAACTTATTTTTCAAATCAGCCTAAATCCCTTTTCTTCTTTCCCTTCCACATCTCTCTTCCTTCTAGACCAACATCTGCCGAAGACGAGGAAAATCGAGGGCACATATTGGTAACACTCCGTCTGGCAGCTGTTCCTAGCCACGGAAACATGTTTCCAGCTTCATTGAATTTCCTTTTTTCTTTTGTTGTGATTATTTTTCAGTACTCAAATGCAGGTTCCTGACAAACGACAACCTTGGGCCAGACCTGCAAGTTGGGTTGGTCTACAGTGGAATAATGCCCTACATACATGTACCTGTACTAGTGTCATTCTGGCAAGCCCAGCCCCAATCTCACGCCTAATTGAATCCCACAACTGGATTACCCCAGCCGAAAAGTGTGCTGCAAGAGGTGATAACAAGATTATTAGGGCAGGCTGGATTGCCTGAGTTTGTGGTCATGTTTCCTGCTAGAAAAACAAGAGAAATTTCCCAGCCGAGCTCCCAAGGTGACAAAAGTTGACAGAATCCAGCTTAGGTGGTGTGCCACTTAAGCCAGCTCAGCTGTCCATCAGTCTATCCTTGCTCTTTGGTTATACACGACTCACCAAGGGTTTTGATCTTTCTTGAAATCTCCAATATTTCTGGCGTATTCGGAGTCAGATGTTGTTTTACTTGTATAAATTTACCGTTGGAATTTTTAACCATCCCCTCAGTAAAACTGCACCAAAAAAAATGAAAACAAAAACAAAAACTGAAAGGAAAGTTTAAAAATTCCTGGGCTCTTTGCACAGACTTGAAATAGAAAAAGTAACCACTGTCCCGGACGATTTTGCCAAAAGTATGTATACCGGGCATGTATCGTAGTTTATGAAGTGCAAACATGTACCAGTGCCACACATGTATTTTATTACTCTCCTGTACAGTTACAGCTGCTTTTTCTGGTGGGTGCGGTTTACATGAGGATCAAATGGAAGGTAAGGGGTGGGACAGCCAGCCACATGCACTGAGGTAACCTGTTCTTTCTCAACACTGGCTTGGGTGTGACGCTACAGGTATGTTTTTGTACACTTTCAGTGAACTGCTTTTTTTTGTTTACATGCCTACCTGTACATGTGCTTCCATCTTGCACCATTATGCTGTCAAAGTAAAGTCCCAATATCAGACATACATATCCCTGTACATGCACAAATCCATTACACAGTGTAGTAAACGCATACATGTACATACATGGACAAAATGTACATGTGGCCAACTAGATGAATATTTTCTAATGTCTGTTAAATACACGTACTCCGTCATCAATATACGTACTCCACTACCAGCGCAGCAACATGAGGCATTGCAAGGTATTTTGGCGGCAACACTGCACGCTGTTCGTTCATGCTTGCCACATACACGTAAATGCAATACTAGATAAACTAACACACGTGCACTAGTACATGAACATTATAGAATAATTTGACAGCATGAGCAAACAAGCTTTTAAATGAGAGCCCCTGAATTTGAACTCACTGGAAGCCACGATCCACGAACTGAACTTTTCAAGTGGGCCCAATTTCTTTTAACCCCCGATTGGGGATTTTGCACTGAGCCCACCACTTTGTCATTGAGACGTTTGACAGCTCATGTTGAACCATTTCCATGGTCACCTTTGTTCAGTGTACCCAATTCCTTGCCCTGCTCTGGCTGTGAGTCTAAAATAAATTGTCCAAATCCTGGATTGCCTACATTGCTGGCTGATAACGCCTGCTCGACCTTGCGGTTCTTCCGTCTCACAATCCACATGCCTAATTGGGGATGCCAGGTGCAGGCTGAAATCTGATTTCACAAAGTATGCTTGAATCATCTTATTGCCAAGCTCATGCAGTCAAGTTCAGTTCCCATCCCTTAAGAAAGTCTTGAGCCAGTTGAAGAGACAAGATACCGGTGTATGTATTTTGCGTGGGGGTAGCCTGGGTAGGGGAACGCTGAAGTTGAAGCTCGCGCGTCACGTGCACTTACCAAGCTGAGCTAGGTTGTCATTCAAAAGTTTTGCAGCACTTTAGAAAAGCTTTTACTTCATTCTTGGAAAAATTTTGACCCAGAATATTTGTTAACTTCTTTTTTAAAAATAAACCTTAGATTTGGGTACGCAGATTTAAATCCGAATTTCCCTCATTTACTGGAAATTGTCACTTACAAATAAAGTCAGGTTCTACATGCATATGTGAATACTGCGTCAATAACGACAGTTTGCTCACGAAACTATTTTTCTTGTTCAAATTTACCAATTTCAAATGCAGTCAGAATACTGCAAGCTACATGTGTGATTTGTTTTTACTAACACGCAGTATTCACAAGGAAAAGATTTTGGCACCAGTATACATGTACATGAATGTTAAATGTTGACCAGAAGTTAATCCCTGATATGAATGAAAATGACAGACTCAATAACTAAAAATGACGACGGGCAGAATGTGACCAAGAAATACACAAGTATGGATGATATTTTCAGGAATTCCCTCCCACACATGGCAAAAAATCTACACGTACATAACATCAGAATTCTCCAGTTTCTTGTCGCATGTTGCAGCTACTCAGAACCACTGCACACAACACTCACCTGCACAATACATCCTGCTAAGATACATTATGTAGAGAAAAACATTTTTTTTTAATGTGTAGCAGAAAATAGCTTTATAGATTATAGATTATAGCTTCCTGCCCCTTACCCCCTGGGGCCCGACCCATCTCGGAAATTCGCAAATGTCAGCAAAATTTCTGTTTTTCAAAAGCTTGACGCAATGGGGGGGGGTCTGGTTGGGCATGCAAGAACACCTGTAACAATAGCAGACCGTGGGTTGCAAGTTCTGGTATCACGGCCTTCAACATAAAGTTGATACAAAACCCGCTCAGTCTCTCAGACTCTCAAGCTAAGAGTAACGGCTATAATATCAATAGCCCCTTATTCTAAGCCTTCTCTAAGTAGGGGTATAGAGTTGATCCCATCCATAAAATCTGGGGGAGAAACTTGATAGGAGCCACTGTCCTCTGAAGAGGCAGAGCTCTAATTAGTCAGGTTAGCCCTGGCAAATTGGTCTGACACAATAGAAACTTGAGCTGGACAGGATGTTTTCACTAAAGAGAGGTGGGATTTAGGGGGCTGTACTGATCCACTTAAGTACATCATTAAGGGTTTACCATACCAAAAAACTGAGGAGCCTTGGAAGGAGGGATGGTAATCCTGCCAATGGGTAAACCTTCCATATTCCCCCCCCCCCTTGGTATTGGAGAAATACCGCACATTTTTCAGTGCTCCAGCAGGTACAAGGGACTGGACCCTTGGTGCCAGGTGATTAGAGGGTATCATTTGATCCCTCTTTCTTCTTTTCTTAATTTGAAACATGGCTGTTGAATTTCATCTCAAG